CGAAAATGTTATTGATGAGAAGAACAAAAACGACTTAGGTTGGTTTGGGAATTGCTCTTTTTAGTTTTTTAATTTTTTATATTTTATAAAAAGACATATAAAAAAATAAATGGAATAAGTTGATTTTTTTAGAAGAAATATTATTTTGTCTTTCAAATTTTCATGCGTTTTTTGATTTGACTGTCAATTTTTTGTATAATATCAATTTGTCCTCCAAACTTGAAATTTTGATTAATTTGGCGCTATCGTCACATTTTGTTCACAATCGAACGGAACTTGTTAACGTGTCATCAAATTTCATTTGAAATTTTATTTTACCCCCAAATTACAACTTAAAAATCAATTAGCTCCCAAATATAAAAAAATAAAAATAATAAATTGAAATATTTAATAAATAATTTTTTATCTCAATAATGAAAAAAATTAAATAATATATACTTTGCAAAAAAATATATATATAAAAAAATAAAAATCCTTATTTAGAATTATCTTGAGACTATGAAACATGGGTACTTCAACAAACATGTTGCACCTGTACCAAGTACTTACTAACGTATGATATTTCTACATACGTACCAGGTATATAAAATACGTATTCAATTTTTTTCTTCTTAATTTTTAGTATACCTAAACATACCTTGTATATACCGAAGTTATGACGTAACTCAGTCGAAATAATATATATTTTTTACTACAGAGATAAAATTCATTTTACTAGACTTCTTTTTCATTTTTAATTTTACGCTTAACATGATTTTAAAATTAAGCTATAATTTATGAGTTATTTAATATAATGACATTTAATTCTGATTTATCTTATACCTGTACTTTTGGTATTAAATATCAATTGTATATTAACACTTAAAAAATTAAATCATTTAATCAATTTTTGTTAAATTAAAAATAAATATTTTTTACAAACATATCAAGCCATACCCGTATCCTATTTTTTTTTTTAGATTTTACCGCATCAAAGTATCCGTATCGTACTAGTACTCATACCTATACCTGTGCTTCATAGGTCTCAAATTATCTCGACTCGATCCTATAGAAACTTATTGAGTCAAAAATCTCTTAACTACTATATATATGTGCGCATCAGCAATTGTAATTAGTTTATTCCCCAAATTAATTTCAATAGAATTGATCAACTAATAGTAATTTCAAAATTGAGTGGGAAAAAAAATTGATTCAATTACTCCCTAAAGAATACTCAACAGGACTAATACTCAATTTTTTTATTTAAAATTTAAAATTTTCATTTTTGAGATAAAAAATTATATATATATATATATATATTATTTTATAATATTTGGGAGGCTAATTGATTTTTAAGGTGTAGTTTGAGGTAGGGGTGCAACTCGGGCGGGCTCAACCCGAGCAACCCGAGCCCAGCCCGAGTTTTTTTAGGGCTTGGGCAACTATATCTTGTAATCTGGACGGGCTTGGGCAGATTTTTGATGCCCGAATTGCAATTCGGGCCGGGCTTGGGCAGAACCAATGGCCAACCCGAGCAACCCGAACCCGAATTCAATTTAATATATTATATAAATTATATAATATATAATATATAATATATATATAATTTAATAAATTATGTAATATATATAAATTAAGTAAAAGAGTTAGTCTTAATTTTTATTTTTTTTATTTTTTTTTGGTTAGTCTTCTATTAAGTAAAAAAGTTAGTCTTAATTTTTATTTTTTATTTTTTTTTAGTTAGTTTTCTACCATTAGATTAGCATCTTTTATGTCTACCCTTAGATCTACCTACAGGTTTCTGAACTCGGGCAATTCGGGCAACCCGAGTTCAAAATACAAAGCTTGGGCCGGGCTTGGGCAACAATGTTCGGGTTCATGGTCGGGCTTGGGCGGGCTTGGGCAGTGCCAAATACAATTCGGGTCGGGCTTGGGCAGACCCCCAACCCGACCGAACCCGCCCGAGTTGCACCCCTAGTTTGAGGGGTAAAATTATGGTGGACATTCGTCCGGTGGAGCTATGTTCGGGCCGGATCGGCACTACATAATAAGAGATTTTGTATTTGCCCATGCCTTGCTCGGCTCGATCCTAACATCGCACCTCTACATTTTCCCAAGCCTAACCCAAAAAATAATTATAAATCCCAAGCCCATCCATCGACTATATATATATTTTTTTTAAAAAATAAAACATTCCGTAATTAAATTTAATCACATGTTATATTTCTTAAATAAATTTAATCACACATCACCACAAATGTGAGTTTCAATAAAATCAATAAAGATAAAGTATAGATCCCAACAAAAAAACATATATTTTAATATGTTATAATTAATTATTTAATTTAATAGTTGGTCGGGCTGAACTGGGTTGGAAGTATAAATTCCAAGCCTAACCCATTAATATATTGGGCTAGAAATATTAGTCCAATCCGACTCTATGGGTTAAAACAACCTTCCCAAGCCTTTAAAAAAATAGAGATGGGCCACGCAGGCTAACGGGCCAATGTCTACCCCTAGGTAAAATGAAGTTCCAAATGAAATTTGGTGTCATGTTAGCAAGTTATGTTTGACTATAGACAGAGTATGACAACAGAGGTCAAATTGATCAAAATTTCAAAAATTTTGGAGACAAATTGATATTATCCAAAGCCTGAAGGCCAAATTAAAAAGGACGCAAAATTTTAGGAGGCAAAATGATATTATCTCTTTGTTTTATTATTTTAGCTAATTACCAAAACATAATGTATCAAAAATTTGTTGGATAAGCACTTGTTCAAACCTCTATAAGAATGCTGCTATTAGCACTCCATCAATTATTTTGGATTCCTTATTTTTTAGTTTATTTTTATTACAATAATAACCTCAAATAAAATTACTAAAACGAACATCAATAATTTTGGGACACCCCATCTCACAATTAAGGTCACACACCCACTACATCATGAATTAGGGTTTATGAGAGCACCCACCTCCATCACCACCCATCCATCTTCTTCAAAATCTACCCACCCTCAAAACCTTAAAAACCCTTTAGCAACAATATTCAGGCGGTAACGGTAGCAACCACTTGATTATTTACACTTTTCTAGCAATGACAATGAATGAAAGTTTTTTCGGCAACCACAACTCCATAAGACGAGAGGAGTATAACAATAAAAGCTCAAAAGAGATTCATAAGTTTGATGGTGTTCTTAGCTCAGATGAGATTAGCCTTGTAAGGATTAGTTTCTTGAAAAAAAAAATAGCAAAAATAATAAAAATTGTTCATTATTTTTTCAAGATTGAACTCCCGAACATATGACTGAAATTTAGGAACACAGGCCCAAACACCGAACATTTCTTATTTGTTCGGGAACAGATAACCAACTCTAACAATAGTCAAACTGAAGAAAAGAATGAGGCGGCAAAGATCACAACCCAAGCCAGTCTAGTTAGGGTAATTGACAATAATCACAGTTGGCACTTTTTTTTCTTTCTCAAGAACAAAAATCCCACCCCAATTTCTTACCGATATATTCTAAGGATTGAAGATTAAAAACCCTATATTTATTTTCTCCCTATAAGGTCATGAACAAGTATGTGGAGATGAAATAGTAGCACTCAAACTATTTGGGAGAGAGATTTTTTTGGGATGTAGGGGTGTACATTCAATTGAATAGATAGAATATTTTTACAAAGATAATTTTGGTATGATTTGGGGGGAGAAAAGAAATTTCAAGGGTTTTAAAATTCATAATTGGGGGTCCAAATAAATGGAGGTCCAAAATAATTGATGAGGTGCTAATAGCAGCACTCCCTCCATAAATCTTCAGACTATTATAAGTAGCGACTTGTTCAAACCGAAATCAATATTGTAAAAAGATTATTTATTCCAAATACCAGTTTTATCTTCCGATTGAAAATATCATATGTGTAATTGTCAATTGAGTTATACAAATTGAACCATAAATATTTTACAAAGAAAAAATTGGTTGTGAATTCTTAATACCTTCATATTATTATTAAGGCGAATTACACTAACAACCACTATAGTTTGAGACTCGTATTACTTTTGTCGCTAACTTTTTAATTGTGATACAGTTGATTCTAAATTTTGAATCTTATTCCAAATAAGAACAATTGAAGATACCATTGTTTAATTTCAAGGGCAAAATCGTCAATTTGATACAATATAAACTAATTTGACAAAAATAAATATCAAAAAAATTATTTTTAATTTTTTTTTAAAATAATGGGTGGTTGTTAGGATTTTGATGTGTAATCGATATATTTAATATATGAAATATTGTTTGTTTTGGATTTTTTGATTTAATGAATTGGTTTAATAATGATATCAAAATTGTCACAATATTTGACTTTTGAAAAAATAGAAAATAATTTAATGAAAATAAAAACAAACATCCATTACATGATCATCATCCAAACACATAATAAAAATTAATTTGGTAACAAAAATAAATAAATAAATGTCTAAAAGATTTATTAATTTTACATAATTTCATCTTTAGGAGTAGAAATAATTTTTTAAAATTCAAAAATATTTTTTTGAAATTTATTTTTGTCAAATTATTTTATATTTTATCAAATTGACTATTTTTTCCTTGAAGTTAAGTAATGGCATCTTCGATTGTCCTTATTTGAAATAAGATTCAAAATTTAAAATCAAATGTATCACAATTGAAAAGTTAAAGAGTAAAGTGACACAACTCTTAAATTATAAGGACTGTTAGTGTAATTCTTTCTTATTATTACTTCAAATTAATTTCATTAAATTAATTCTCTTTTTTTTCAATTAATTTTATTCTATTTTATTTTGATCATTATTGTGGATTCGATTACTTGGCGACAACCAGCTATTAGGTATACACGTTTCAAAGTTGTAGCAAATAAAATATAAAAGTGAGAGGTATGATGTAGTGTGAAATAGAATGTGGAAACAAGGAATTTTCAACCATAACAACAGCAACAACAATTATTTATTCGTCATCCAACAATTGCTATTTACCTTTCCCCTCTAGTCTGTGCCGTGTTATTCCTACCTAACATTTTCAGAGTTCGAAAGAGAGGGAGGGGATGGGGACAGAGTTGAAGCACGAGATTGAATATTTCGGCCACGATCATAGTTTGATCCTATGCAATTCCAATTCCAATTCCGAGGGAAGACATGATGATATTTGTGCAGTTTGCGAAGAGCCAATCTCAGGTCTTTACTATCATTGCCGGGGTATATCATGCCACTTTGCCATCCACAATTCATGCACTGAAATACCAAGATATATCCAACATCAATCCTTGCATTCTCCTCAACACAATATCTTGCTCAGTTGTATAGATAATTCACCTTCTGAAGCACGGCAATGCAATGCTTGTGGGTGTGGTGTTAATAAAATCGCCTACAAGTGTCATAATTGCTCTTTTCGTCTACACGTTAGATGCTATTTCCTGCTCACCAAAAACCCAAAAAATCATGATCAGCAACAGCAGCAACGACAGCAGCCCAAATCAAATCACCCCCATGACTTAATTTTGTGTGATCTTGACAAGGACATGAAGTTTTCTTATACCTGCACTTGCTGTGACTTGCTTATTATTGATGATGGTTATGGTGATGATGGAGGTGGTTGTGATGGTGGTTCGGTGGTGGTGTATGTATGCCTGGTGTGCCCGGCCTTGCTACACAAATCATGTGCTAAGTTGCCCTGGAAAATTGACCACCCCTTTCATCCCTCACATTCTCTCCTCCTCTGCCGCAAGGCACGTTGTCAGTGCAATGCCTGTGGCAAGAAACCGAATGGTTTTACCTACCACTGTTCTGAGTGTGAGTTTCACCTTGACGTTCATTGTGCTTCTCTGAAGCCAATCCAAACCCAAACCCAAAACGATAAAGTTCAATTCAATTTCAGCCACCCCCATTCATTGATATTCTGCAACAAACCAAGATCACCAAGATTTCCCATTCACTGCTTTGTGTGCAGGCTCCCTTTTGTGGATTCAATGATCTGTTTTTGCCCAAAATGCAAAGTCCTCATGCACAAATCATGTGTTGATTTGCCGCAAGAAATCAAGCACGTCCTTCACCCGGAGCACACTCTCAACCTCTGGTATATTCCGGGTTGGCGTTATTGTAGGGCATGTCGAAGCGATTCTCATGCTTTTTTATTTAAATGTTTACAGTGTAAATGGTACATGGATGCCGGATGTGCTTTGTCAGAACCCCCCAGAATCATCATGTCTGAAATCCACGAGCACCCTCTTGCTTTATTCAAGGAGCCAAATCACAAAAAATGCAAAACTTGTTCGAAGAAATGCATTACCCCTTACTTACTCTGCGTGTTATGTAATTTCATTCAACATGTCAATTGTGTTGAAATATTACCACCTATCGTCCAATATAAATATCATTACAATCGCCTTACCCTCACAGATTCTCCTATTAAAGACAATTCAGATGAAGATGACGATGCAGAGTTTTACTGTGATGCTTGCGAGGAAAGAAGAGAGCTACATAAGCGAAGTTATTATTGTAAAGAATCCCATTACGTTGCTCATCCTCATTGCGTTGCATCAGAGGTACGTCTCCTCTTCGTCTGCATACTAGAAAGCATGTTCACTGACCATAATTTTTTTTATTTTTTATAACTCAGTATCCAACCCATTGGACTGACTAATCCGGAAACAATCATATATATCAGATTGAATTAGACTAATTCTCTTCTCCCAAAAAGGGACCAAATTGGGTTGTGAGCAAGTTCTAGCATTCACATCAAATGATTTTTTTGTCATTTCTGTTTCTTATAAACAACAGCTTGTTAATATTGGTAAGGCTATCTTTTTAAGACAAAGATTTTCATGTTTAATTGAATGCATCAAATTGCCATTTGAAGCTCATTTTCATGAAGTTCATCCCTAGATAGAAACCGTTCTTTAATTATAATGGCCCAACTTTCTTTCTGTTTGATTAGAAAGAAAAATAGGTAGAAAGTGAAAGTCAAAGTGTAAGCACATTTGATTAAGGCTTGGTTTGGGGTACACTAAACAATATAAAAAGTCAAAAAGTCATTATCCTATTTAAGTTACAGCATTTTATTTAAATCACATCACCTCTCTAACATATCACATCAAACCCAATCCAAACTCAATCCATATAAGCCAATAAGTCAAAAAGTGTACTTTTTTAGAACATCCCAAATCAACCCTACGATAAAAATTTTGTACGAAAAAGATAGAGAATTTTATTATAGATAACTAAAACATTTAATTTTTCTTATGTTTTTTTACAATAAATTAAAAATGAATAAAGGTATACGCACAAATTGATATACTAATTAGTGTACTAACGGATAATGTGGTATACTTTTATAGGCTTTGAATCTTTATAGGTTATATAATAGATGGGGTCCATAGTTTTGAAGTGACAATATTATAGTATATATATATTGATACACTAATTGATATACCAATTGGTATGTGTAACACCACTGATTAAAAATTAGTTACAACATACAATACTAATATAAATTGTACAAGAAAATTAATTTTCTTTTACTTTCTAACACTTTCAAACTAAACAAATTCTTAATGGGAATTCAAATTTAGAATACCAACATGGTCAATTATTTTGACGAGTTGAAAATTTTAAATCCTACATAATCTAGTGGCTAGACTCTAACCCAATAAATTTATGGAAAAATTACTAATCAATGAGACATAGGAGAAAAACTATTAAATTACTATATATAAGGTGAGAATCTTTTCGGAAGACAACTTTTTGTTGTATTTTTGTTTTTTTCATAGATAAAAGTTGCACTCTCACAATTTTGTAAATATTTTCAATTCAATAAATTGCACTTTAAAAAGATGAAATTGAATAAGACTTTAAGATTCGATAATATTTCTATTGAAGTTTGAAAATGTTTGGATAAGAAGAGGGTTGTTTGGTTGACTAAGTTATTTAGTAAGATTATGTTGACTAGGAAAATACCAGGGGAGTGGAGGATGAGTATTTTACTACCAATCTATAAGAATAAATGAGATATCCAGAATTGCAATAACTATAGAGGAATCAAACTGATGTGTCATATAATGAAAATGTAGGAGCGAGTGATGGAACGTTGATTGCAAGATATAATAGAGGTGTCAAATAATCAATTTGGATTTATGCTTGATAGGTCAACAATATAAGCAATCTATCTTTTGAGGAGAGTAATAGGAAAATATAGAGAAAGAAAAGAGACATTCGTATGATTGTTATCGATCTTGAAAAAATATATGATAGAGTGCCTCGGAATATAATCCAGTAGGTGTTAGAGAATAAAGGATGACAAAAGGTTATATTAATGTGATTAAGAACATATATGAAGGTGTGGTGACCACTATTAGATTGTCTGCTAAAGAGATAAATGAATTTCCAATTACTTTAGGTTTACACCAAGGATCAATCTTAAATCCTTATTATTATTATTATTATTATTATTATTATTGTTATTATTATTATTATTATTTTATTTTTTTATTTTTTAGTTTAGTTATGGATGAGTTAACGATAAATATTCATGATGATTTGTCATGGTATATGGTTTTTGCAGATGATATCGTGTTAGTGGATGAGATTAGATAATGAGTTAACACTAAGTTGGAGACTTAAAGAGAAGCACTTGAATCTAAAGATTTTAAGATAAGCAAAACTAAGACAGAGTACATGAAGTATAATTTTAGTAACAGTAACAATGGAAGCAGAGAAGAAGTGAAGATTGAGAATCAAGAACTATCTAAGAGTGAACATTTTCGTTATTTATAATCGATTATCACAACGGCTGGGAAGATTGGAGCGAATATGATCCATAGAATTAAGACGGTATGGCTTAAGTGGAGGAGTGTGTCTGGATACTGTGCGATAAACGAGTACCCACTAGACTTAAGGAAAATTCTATAGAACGACTATTAAATCAGTGATATTGTATGAGACAGAATGTTGGGCAACTAAGAAATAACATGTAAATAAGATGAGTGTTGTTGAGATAAGAATGCTAAGGTGGATGTGTGGCAAGACTAGAAAAGATAGAATTAAGAATGAGTATATTCGTGAATGGGTAGAAGTAGTACCAATAGAAGTAGTACCAACAGAGGCAGTAGTGAAGAGATGCGATAGAGTGACGGTAGATGGAAGTGTTAAGAGAAGAAGCAAATCTAGATTGACATGGGCTAGTTTAGTAGATACAGACACAAATCTCCTTAATTTAACTAACCGAACAATCATCGATAGAGTCGAGTGGAGAAAAGAAAATTTATATAATTAACCTCATGATACTTTAGGTTTGATATAATTTGGCTTGGCTTAGTTTGGTTTAGCTTGAATCATAATATTTCTTAAATTTAATGTATAATCTGCCGAATTCAACTTAGGAATCAAACGATGATTGACAATACTTTGGGTAGGTAGACTGGTTTTTTTTTTTTTCATGACTTTTTAATACAATAAGTGATAAATAAATGCTGACAAAAAATTTATTTAAAAAATGAGTGAATAGTGTTGATTAAAATTTAATGTGTCATGAGTCGTACTAACAATAAATTTGGTCTATACAATTCAAATTCTGAATTTTTTTTTTATAAATTTGTAGCATTGCTATTTTTTTATAAATTTGTAAATTTTTTATTGTAGCAAATTGTAACAAAATACGGTAATGATATAAACCTAATTTCATAGTCCAGTCCAAATTTTTTATTGTTGGTGCATCAAATCAAGCATCATTTTTCAATTTTCAATTGCAGCAACTTGTAATAAAATAAGATAATCATTGTGATAAAATTTATTCCCCATTCCTGGTGCTGGTGATGAAAGATTGTCCTCAAATTCATATATCTTAAAATATTTATGGTAATCGAATTATGTTAAATTTCAAGATATAATTTAATGATTTTGAGTTTTTTGAGATAGAAAAACAAAGAAATTTAGGCACATAAGGTCTTGTGTCATTTTGTGTCCAATTAAGTGTTGTGACAATGTCATAATTTGAATCAAAGTATTTTATTTTTGAGACAATTACATAAAAAATAAAAAATAAAAACTCAAAAATTTGAGCCTTGTAAATTACACTGACAGCCTTTTGATTCTTCTGAAATAACACTGTTACTCCTTTATTCTCTTCCTTTACAAAATTTTGTGACATTTAGTCCTTTAATTTGTTAGTCAACTAAAGTTAACTTTGCCCCTACAATTTCTTTTCTCTTCCATTCACCTATTCTTCTCTCAATCATAGACCCTTTCTCTTCTTCTCTAACCAAAGCCTCTCACAATCTAACTACCCCCCACCACCTGAGATCTCGTTAATTTGATTTCCAACAAAGAATTTCAGCAAATAAAACAAAACCCAAGTCAATTGATTTTACAAACTCATGTAAAACAATATATATATATATATAGGAATCAAACGATGATTGACAATACTTTGGGTAGGTAGACTGGTTTTTTTTTTTTTCATGACTTTTTAATACAATAAGTGATAAATAAATGTTGACAAAAAATTTATTTAAAAAAATGAGTGAATAGTGTTGATTAAAATTTAATGTGTCATGAGTCATACTAACAATAAATTTGGTCTATACAATTCAAATTCTGATTTTTTTTTTTTTTATAAATTTGTAGCATTGCTATTTTTTTATAAATTCGTAAATTTTTTATTGTAGCAAATTGTAACAAAATACGGTAATGATATAAACCTAATTTCATAGTCCAGTCCAAATTTTTTGCTGTTGGTGCATCAAATCAAGCATCATTTTTCAATTTTCAATTGCAGCAACTTGTAATAAAATAAGATAATCATTGTGATAAAATATATTCCCCATTCCTGGTGCTGGTGATGAAAGATTGTCCTCAAATTTATATATCTTAAAATATTTATAGTAATCGAATTATGTTAAATTTCAAGATATAATTTAATGATTTTGAGTTTTTTGAGATAGAAAAACAAAGAAATTTAGGCACATAAGGTCTTGTGTCATTTTGTGTCCAATTAAGTGTTGTGACAATGTCATAATTTGAATCAAAGTATTTTATTTTTGAGACAATTACATAAAAAATAAAAAATAAAAACTCAAAAATTTGAGCCTTGTAAATTACACTGACAGCCTTTTGGTTCTTCTGAAATAACACTGTTACTCTTTTATTCTCTTCCTTTACAAAATTTTGTGACACTTTAGTCCTTTAATTTGTTAGTCAACTAAGGCCATGTTTGTTTTGGCAGACTGAATTAGGTTGGATTAGTATTTCCATGACTAATAGTCTTAGGACTACGAAACCTTTGGATTATGTATCCTATCTTATGTTTGGATTGAGTTAGGATTATAAGGAGGACTAATAGTCCAGACTTGTTTAGTCTTTCAATTTATATCCCACCTCCTTCTGTAGGATTGAATAATCCATCATATGTGGAATACCATATCCAGATGGATTGTTTGTCCGTACTTCAATTGTTTAACCAAACATTGGATTAATAATTTTATTGAACTATTAGTCTAATCCCAAACTCATATCTACCCAAACAAACATGGCCTAAACAATTTCTTTTCTCTTCCATTCACCTATTCTTCTCTCAATCATAGACCCTTTCTCTTCTTCTCTAACCAAAGCCTCTCACAGTCTAACTACCCCCCACCACCTGAGATCTCCTTAATTTGATTTCCAACAAAGAATTTCAGCAAATAAAACAAAACCCAAGTCAATTTATTTTACAAACTCATGTAAAACAATATATATATTTATACACAAATATGGGAACTCTTATTGTTATTTCCAATAAAGAAGAGAAAATTCAAAATAATTAATTTTAAAAATTCCTGATTTCGTCCTGTTTGCATTCACAACGTTTTTGGATATTTATGGGTTTTTAGTGGCAAATCCTATTTTGTCTCTAAACCCAAACTAACAAGAACATTTAGAATAGTTGACAAACTTATCTCAAAAGCATGAAAAATATCAACTTCAGATAACATTTGACCTTTCACAATGAAATCACAATTGAAGTTTCCAGACCTATGAGGATATATTAGTATTCCTATAGGCTCTTCTTCATTAAAATAAACAAATGAACAAAAAGTATACTTTGGACAAAAAAAAGAACGAAATATGGAAAATGCAAAAAAGTAATTATTTAATTCCAATTTTTCATTGTTTGTCCTTTCCTTGTTTACACTAGAAGCTTGCTTACTACAGTCTCTCATAATATGTTTAGTTGTTCTAATTTTGACTTTTGATTGATCATTAGATCATGGATGTTCTACAAGAAGAATGGTTAAAGAAGAAGAGGCTTACGACGGTTGCTAACGCAAAAGTTCAGGTACAAATGCTTCTTTTTAAAGGTTACATTTAGATCTTGAAATTGTCAGAGAAAGAAAACAAAAAAAGAATAGAATAGAATTACTTATACATATTCATTTATACTATAAGCTTGCTTACTATTTTAGTTGTTTTAATTTAGACTTTTGATTGATCGTTAGATCATACATGCCATACAAGAAGAGTAGTCAAAACAGAAGAGGCTTGTCAATGCAAAAGTTGAGGTAAAAATTTCTTCTTTTAAATTTTAAGGCTATGCTTAGATCTTAAATTTGTCAAAGAAAATAAAATAAAATAACCGAACCAAAAACTATTTAAAAAAAAAAAATTAAGTGTGGACACATTGCATTTTCTTTTCCTATATTTTCCTTTTCCTATTCTTTTACATCAATAAATTCAAAATTCAAATATAACCTAAAGTGTTCCATCTACAACGATATTATGTCACGGGTTAAAACAGCCTCTATGCATGTAGTGGTAAGCTTGAGCACATTTTATCCTCCTCAGACCCCTCGCAATGACAAATGATATTAATTGGATTTATAGTCCCTTATCTATCAGCTACCTTGAAGGAGGTGGGTTCATATTGTCCCATCAAGTGGCTGTTGTACTAATGTTTGTGATGTGTTATGTCAATTGTGATATAGTTAAGAATGAACGAACTATGATATGCACCAATAAAGTAAAGGGAGCAGCTTGCTTCCGGTTTGAGATTGGATTGAATGGTGTTGTTCGGCTCATAGGAGCCTACCACGGATTCCGTTTTGATAATCCAAACCATTCAATGTGTACAACTTATCGAGTACTATATGCTTGTAAGAAGTCACGTTGATCAAATATAGATAGTTATCTCATTGGATCATTTTTTTGTCAACCGTTAATTTATTCGCCGTTTATTTTTTGTTATACAAAACTAATTTGATTACATAGCTATCGATATCCAATCAACGTGATTTTTTTCAAACATATAGTACTCGACAAGTTCTACACATTGAACGATTCAGATTATCAAAATGGAACCCGTGGTGGACCCCCACAGGCCAAACAACACAGTCTAGTCCGATCTCGAAGTGGAGGCAAGCTACATCTTGAAGTAAATTATGAATTATTTTGATGAAAAAAGTTATGATTTACGTCATGTTGTAGTGTTTGATACAAAACTTTGTGGTTATATGTAACAATACCGGTTTCGATCCTTCTTTCATGTTTTGCCACTTCGACTAAGCCGGTCGGGGGTCGAGCTACCCAGTCAGCTCGCGGGGGTCCAGGGGGCAGTGCCCCTTGGCAAGTCCAAGGGTAACGCCCTAGCAGGGGTCGAGCTGCCCGGTCAGCTCACGGGGGTCCAGGGGGCAGCGCTCCTTGGCAAGTCCTAGGTCAGCGCCCTAGCGGGGTTGAGGGGCAGTGCCCCCAAAACAAAAATGCAAAATACATTCGAAGTTGCTTGTCCGCTTGAGTGGCCGTTTATGCGCTCGAGCGAAGAATGTTTGGTTTCAGAAGTTTGATCTGTCTGCAAAAGTACTAGGTTAGTGTATTTGACGCTCAAGCGAAGCATTCCACGCTCGAGCGGACCATGTTCTATCAATTCGTGAATCTGATATTTCATATCACTTTTTTTAGTCCTCTCTCTCTCTAAAACTCTCCAGAATTCCAGATCGGGAGCTTCTCTCTCTAGAAGTCATCTTCTTTCTTTGATTTCTCCAAATCCATTAGGATTTAGACCTATGTTCTTCACCAAAGTTGGTTATCATCTCGAGGGCTTTGTTGTGTGCGATGAAGATCGAGTTTTGACACCATTGATTTTGGGGGTTTCATCTCATTTCATTGTTGTCAAAATATTGATTTAGTCTTGAATTGACTAAATTGTTAAGATTGCTCGAAATGTGGGAATTACGTTATTCTCTTGAATGAATTGGATATAAAAGTATATATATATATTCATCTTGTGGAATTGTGTTGAAAATATGATTGGGAATTTTGATCATAATGGTATATGGTGTGTAACAATTGAATATGGAAGTAATGTTGTATTGCATTATTAATTATACATTAGCATTTCAATTCATTGGACTATGTTAAGTTTTGGAAATTTGCATTGAGAAAAGAATGTTGGGAAATGGGTTTTCATGAAATGGTTTTGGAGTAAATACGGTGGTAAGTCTTAATAGGTGGTATAGATGAAATTGTTTAAGTTGGCCTGAGTGTCCTTGGTGAAAGACCAGAAAGTCACGCGGATAGGTGTCGAGCTTTCTGGTTAATACCGATGAAAATGACAATTGATAGTATTCGTATAGTCTACTTGCAGACACCGACCTAGAGATTACTAGAGTTGTGTTTACCGCCCCCTTTAATTAAATTGATAATTTTTGAACAATTGAAGTTGCACAACATCATTGAGCATGATGGTTTTCAAAAGATGAAGATGTGTTTTATTTTCAAAAAGGCATGGCATGGCATGTGCATTCATCTCTTCAGACATGTATAAAATGTATATGCTTTGTTAAGGATTTCCTACTGGGCTTTATGCTCACCCTACTGGATTTTTGTGCAGGAAAAGACGTGGTGAATCCGCCTAATTGAGGGCGTAGAAATGTGTGTGTTGAGAGCACTAAAGTTCTCATTTGCTGTGATTCTATTTGTAAGCCAAGGGCTATGTATGTGTGGGTTTGAATAATCATTTTGTGTACCGGGCTTAAGCCTTGGAAGATTATAAACCCTTGGGGATGCTTATTTGGTTATTTACTTGTTGTAGAATCAATATAATATCGCATGAGGAACTATTATTATTATGTAATGCAAGTATAAGAATTTATATTTGGTTTTCCTTTAAGAGAGTCATGATTGTTGCATTATCATTTGGGCTAGAAATTTGGGGTGTTACATTATATTACATGTGTTGTTGTAGGATGCATCCGGAATGCCCTTTTTAAGCATGCACACCATAATAGTTCCCTTAATCCAATAGATTTTTACATTAATCTCATTAGTATTTAACTTTAAGAGTCTTATAAAATAATTTATTGCATTCAATTTTATTGGTCATACTAATGACAAGTTCAATAAGCTATTAATAAGGAAATTAGTGTCAAAAGAGTTAAAATCATAAGATTATTTTACACAGTCTAAGATACTTTCACATATTTAGATGTGTCTTTTATATATTTCAATTCACTTTTTATATAATGGCTATTAATAATTTTCATCCTATTATTGTATATAGAATTTCTTTAAAATAAATACCCAACAAAGAAATCTTGGAACCACCTAGTCCCACCAGTAAAGTTTTTTATTATGTTATTGGTTGATAGTACCATATAAATAATACCACATGATATTTTATAACTATTGAATTGTAATGCCCCCAATAATAGACACAAAATAGACATGATAATTCCATCCAATAAACGATCCTACCTTGACCGATCAATTTCCTTAGTTTGTACTTCCTTCCAATAGTGTGATATACAAAAGTGTTCTCATGCAATACATATTCAATCTTCTAAAATGATGAATCCATAGCATGTATAACAATATAAAAATAAAAGAAATAACAACAAGATAAATGCCCAAAGGTTACAAGTTTCAAGGCTTAAGTTTGGTTACATAAAAGGTTGTCAAACCCTAAACACATTAAGCCCTTTGGCTTGCTAAAAAAAAAGCAAAAAAGAGGAGAAGGAGAGCCTCTTGCCCTCAATACACTTCATACCTTTAATTAGGCGGGATCACCACATCCTTTCTTGCACAAATCCACTAGAAGCGAGCACAAAGCCCAGTAGAGATATCTTAACAAAGTATATATGCTTAAGCAGTCTCGTATATATAATTGCAATGCCATGCCATATTCAACTATCAAAATTCTTGATTTCTTTTGAAATACATGCTATATTTCTTTCAAAAGTTCACTTTCTCCATGAGATTCAAATAATGACAAAGTTGTGGTAAATACGACTTAGGTAATTCCTAAGCTAGTGTCTACAAGTAGGCATAACAAACACTACCAAATCCCCACTTTACTAGCTCCTAACCAGAAGGCACGTAGTACCTCCTCCGCGCATGTCTTCAGTCTTTCACCCTAGACACTCAGGCCAACTTAAACAATACCAATTACACCCCTTATCCGGACTTACCAAACGTATTTACCCCAAACGTTTCAATAACAACAGTTGTTTTTTTTTAAAAACAATGAATTTATTTCCAAGCCATAGCTATAATTGAACAATATTCAAAATGATGCAAATGAATGAAATGAGAGATGATTACATATAGGTATCTCATTTGTATAATATCTCCATAAATCTTGACACTTATTCAAAGTAAATTTCCATTGTTCAATGATTCTCAAAACCATGACAAAATATAAATTCATGTGACATTTGTACCTTTTCATGTTCACAATCACTATTCTGTTCATGTCTCAACGCATACCATTTCGAGGCTAATAACATTTTTCAACAACAAGAATTATTCATCTCATGGATATCTCAATTAAACAATCAATATAAAGAAAGTTCTATCGATTTCTTGAGAAATTTAACGACAATTCCATGAATATTTCATAAAATTCACTTTTTTTCCCAAATTTCTTAAAAACTAGGATTTGACCCAAAATTTCTTAAAATCTAGGATTTGACCCAAAAGGCTATTTTTTGTTGTTGTTGTTGTTGTTGTTGTTGTTGTTGTGTGTGTGTAGATTCTCTTCACAAGATGCTTTCAAGAGTTTCATGAGTTCATAAACCATTTCTAATTTGAACATCCTCACAAAAAAAGTTATTTTCTTCAACACTTTACCCACACTACAAAAATCCATGCCATACTTCTAAAATCATAAAACGAAGAACTAGACATGCTAAAATCATATATATATAACTCAAAGAACTCCCTACCTCAAGATTTGGAATGAAGATAAGAAAAAAGTCCCAAAATCAACTGCATCAAAACCTGATCTCCACCGCACACAATGTTGCTCTTGAGGAGCTCCCCAAGATTAAAGAAAACACTAGGGTCAAAAGCTCAATGGATTTGGCTAGATCAAGAATTTAATGAGATGGGTGGATGGGTTTTCTAGAGAGAGATGAAAGACAAAAGAGTAAGGGTAATTGTAGAGAGAGAGAGAGAGAGTATGTGCGTGTGTGTGAAGTGAAAATTGAAGTAAAGGTGTGTAAGGGCTCCATTTTTAAGTGATTAGACACATTTTTCGGAATTGACTGCGGACAAACCGCTTGAGAGACCAAATATGCGCTCGAGTAAACTATTCAAACTCCCAAAATTTCTTCCTGAACGACGAAATCTTCACTCGAGCGAAGAATACAAACTCCCAGAAGTTTAGACTGCAAAACGTGATACTGGAAGGTCAAAGACTCAACAGTGACGAAGACAACTAAAGGAGACAGAAATTACAAATTAAATATACTCAAATTGTTTGAAAAAAACTTGGGGCATCGCATGATAATTAAGGTGTATTTAGAGTGATATGAGAAATATCTTTTTTTGTGTTTATGGATGCTCATGGAGACATTTTTACAATTTTATAAATTTATTCATGTTTTTAATATTTTATTTGTAATTTAATAAGGATCTTAGTAATATTTAATTTTTTTTTTTATTTTTAGGGATTTAATTTCTTATTTTGAATTAAGGTTTTAGTCAATAATATTGAAACTCAACAATAAATAATAATAATGTTGTTCAAATTGTGAAATTAAATAAATAGATTTATGAAGAAATCAAATTATATACCGAGAACATATGCTGATAATTACAATTAAATTTCAACAGAAATACACAAAACAATAAAAGGGTAAAGAGACGAAACCGAAGCCTGCACGGAAGCAGTTTCCTTAAAACAAATTTCGCCGCCTCACGGGTCGAGTGCTTGAGGAAACCCGGCGTCTGTCTTCCAGGATACGACGGTCAAAACCAGCTACGGCAGAAACACTTTCTGTCTAGCTTAGCGAACAAGAACAGTGGCAGCACTCTCTCAATGTAGGAACTTTCTGGCAAACTGACTTGTAAAATGGAAGCAAAAAATTTCTATATTGAAACTAGATAAGAGGGTCTCAATTTATACATGTAAAGGGGAGAGAAGAAGTGCCTCCAGCCTTTAAGGCTGGTTATTAAAACACCAAGCATCCATAGCCCCTTTCCAAAAATATGAAAGTTTGGATGCCCAAAGGATTCACACCCTTTAACTAAGAAAAAAGATTTAAATACTCTTTAAAATCCTATTCATGAATCTAATATCATGAGGCAATTTCTTATTCAAAACCCAATGGTTTTTGGCTCACTTGGATCTAACACAATAAAAGGTTGTGACCCACTTTAATATTAAATTAAAGTCACCAAAAATCATTTTTTCCAACAATCCCTCACATGAATAAAAATTGACCGAAAGACTCAACAAACGGACATCGTTCAGCAATAATGACTCGAAGAGAGAGTACAACGAACTAACCTCAACATCAGAGAAGGTAGCTTTTGGCTTTGAACCTCTCCCAGTGAAAACCTATTGAGTTTACTGGCTGATTAATGAATAAGACATCTTGAACTGCTCTGCCGTATATGTAAACTGAGACAATAGATGTCACACGGGAATTACTCCTACCACCATTCTGTTCTCACTGGTGTGCCCTATGTGGCCCTGGACACTAGCCTGGTTTAGCGAATGGTTTCAAAGAATCTTGGCCTGCCCAATTCTTCTAGAAGTGGCCCCACTTCACACTCACATAGGTAATTCTACTTGAGTATCCTGCAATACTCAGCTCAACAGCTTAACAAACTAGAGTCATTAAAAGCTCAGCTTAACCTCTACACTTGCAAGTATCACTGATAGAAGGAATGGCTGGAGGTTTAACCTCCTCAGTGACATACCACCGTTACACGCAATTAGGTTGTCCCATTGAACCTAGATCTTGAAATCTCCAGTCAACTAGGTTGGGTTTCCATTCCGGTAACTTCCAAAGGCCTCAACCCCATTCCTTTTGACGACGTTTCGACTAACACTTGACTTAACCCTTTGGTTAGCGAATCCGCAATGTTGTCCTTAGACTTTACATAGTATAAAGAGACAACTCTATTCGAGAGTAGTTATCGTATGGAATTATGTCTACGACGGATATGTCTAGACTTTCCATTATACATATTACTCTGTGCCCTACCAATTGCAGATTGACAATCACAATGAATACAAATAGCTGGCACAGGTTTAGACCAACGTGGAATATCTTCAATGAAAAGGCGAAGCCATTCTGTTTCTTCCGTTGCTTTATCCAAAGCAATAAACTCTGATTCCATCGTTGATCTAGATAAACACATTTGCTTGGAAGATTTCCAAGACACGGCTGCCCCACCAAGAGTGAACATATATCCACTAGTGGACTTTGAGTCCTTAATATCTGATATCCAATTCGCGTCACTATATCCTTCAAGCACCGTTGGATATCGAGTATAATGCAGCCCATAATCCCGAGTGTAGCGTAAATACCTTAACACCCGCACAATGCCCTTCCAATGAGAAGCATTGGGATTACTTGTGTATCTACTAAGCCTGCTAACCAAGTAAGCTATATCTGGCCTAGTACAACTCATCAGATACATTAAACTTCCAATTACCTGAGAATATTCTAACTGTGAGACACTTTCATTATTATTCTAGGTAAAATGCAGACATAAGTCTACAGGTGTCGTTGACACACTCGTATCTGATCCACTAAACTTATCAAGTATCTTATCAATATAATGAGACTGAGAAAGTACAATTCCGCCAGAGATTCTGGTAATCTTAATTCCCAGAATAACATTTGTAATGCCCATATC